CAGCGCCTCCATTGGCATGACTCGTGATGAGTATGATGGGTTCCCCTCTGACGGGCTCCCTGTCTATCACAGTATCGCGATCAGCATCATCTCAAGGGCACCCAATGCACAGTACACGTCAGACGTAAACTGCAAACCGATCTGGTGAAAACATATACGCTTGCGCTCAAGTGCATTTAGGAATGCGTACACATGATAATTCAAGTTTGTCTCGGTGTTCATACCAACTGAGCTTATGAGAGCTCTGTTCCGTGGCAAATGGCCATCACTATCGACACACTGCAGGTGTGACCCGATCAAATGCATGTAAAACTCCCCTAGAACCATGAAATGCAACCAGCTGCCATGAGGCGTGACCGTGCCCGAAGTAAAATATGAGCACGTGGTGTCGCAAGTCGAGGTCGAATTTCCGACCATGAAACTTTTGTAGCCAGAATTCGTGGCGTGCGTTCTGCAGCGCTGCATGAGTTTCAAGCTCTGTCAAAGTTCACGCTTGTACGACTGGTAGTCGAGCTCAGCTGATACTGATTGACGTGGCTGATGCGGCTGGTGCTAAACGATCTACGTCGCCTGTGCAGCCTTCAACTAAATTGAATAGATCCCTGAACAGCCCTCGCGTTGACCTGACGGCTGACGAGCTAACAACAATCCTTCTGGCATGTACACGAATTCTACGCGCGCTGCACACGATGGAACAGATGAAGCCAAGCCTGCCTCTGGGCACCCAGTCTTGAAACCAGGCACTCACGAGAACGTTTGCTTGATCCGACACTGACTAAGGAATATAATTTCTTCTGAGGTTCTCTGCTCGGCTACCCCGCGGAGATTATCGTCTCAGAAAGCGGATGCGAGATTACCATGACAATCAACCATCAGTAGACTGAGAGTGCTGCGCGAGGGGAGACGACTCCTGATCCTCGTTGCCCCTCTTCCTACTCATGCTCCTTCTCCCTCACCCTACCCAAGACCTCCAACAACCCTGGTTTATTAGCGCCGCCAGCCCCTGAACTCTCGGCCCACTCTCTCCGAGTCGTTGCTTCGCAGTCGCCGAGGATCTGGAAACAGCTCCTGGACGCCGACTTTGGCGGCAACCTCGGACGCGATGTTTTGTCTACTCGGCACGACAAAAAACGGGAGCAGCACATCACCAATACCCATCTTCTCTGGACCTCTCCACGAGCGCGTTATGACCAGGATGTCGAGGCGAACGCACTCGTGGCGACAAGGAGCCGTATCGGTCTCAAAATCTGGTCCTCCTATGAAGATGTGCTGGGGCCCAGCAGAGGAGGAGGAGGAGGAGGAGGAGGAGGAGGAGGAGGAGGAGGAGCAGGCGGAGGAGGAGGGAGGAGGAGGAGGAGGAGAGGAGGAGGAGGAGGAGGAGGAGGAGGAGGAGGAGGAGGAGGAGGCTCTTCGCATGTCCTTCTCCCCTCGCCCCCCTTCCCGCGGGCACCGCTCTCCGAACCGTCGGCTTCTCGTCACCGGCGGCGGCGCGGAAGATCGCGGGGAGATCCGCGAACTGCGGGTGAGAACCGTCGAGGACGAGCCTTTCGGCAAGGCTGCCACCCGGCCCCCCACCCCTCGGAGGAGGAGGAAGAGGAGAAGGGGGAGGAGGGGGAGGAGGAGAAGGAGGAGGAGGAGGAGGAAGAGGAGAAGGGGGAGGAGGGGGGAGGAGAGGGAGGAGGAGAGAGGAGGAGAAGGGAGGAGGAGGAGGGAGGAGGAGGAGGAGGAGGAGGAGGAGAACCCCCCGCTCCCTCTCTGTATAAGCGCGTTCCACTACTCGCAGTGGCCTGGATCCGCCGCGGGGATCTACGATCCACTACGTCGAGGCGAGCACGTGTGTTTTCAAATGTCTGGGAATTGGCACTTTGCGAGTAGCTGGGGACATGAAAAGAGCTCACGCCAGAGGTTTTTGCGCTCGCGGGTTTCAGCGACTAGCGGCCGTTTCCCAGGGGACTAAGTTGAGAGGTCCAGGGGCTGGCGACTCGAACAAATCCAGTCAGGAACTTGGGCCGTACCCCTTCATCTCCTGATCCTCCTCCTCCTCCTCCTCCTCCTCCTCCTCCTCCTCCTCCTCCTCCTCCTCCCTTCTGCTCCTTTTCCCCCCCTCCTCCCCCCCTCCACCCTCCTCCTCTCCTCCTCCCTCCTCCTCCTCCTCCTCTCCTCCTCCTCCTCTCCTCCTCCCTCCCTCCCTCCCTCCCTCCCTGCCTCCCTCCCTCACTCCCTCCCTCCTCTCCTCCCACTCCTTCACTTTTTCCTCCTCCCCCTCCCCCCTCTCCCACTCCCTCCTCTCCTCTCCTCCTCTGCACTCAAACTCAATGCATCAGCGTGGGGGATCGCGGCGAAGCGTGGGCGGGAGATCACGCATGAGCAGAGGGCGGTGGAACGGGCCGTCTGGCGCAGTGGCATGGGGGAGGCGGGAGCGGTCAGCATCAAATCGATAAACTGGATCGGATCAGAACACGCATCAAATGCGGCCGCCGTTGTACGGAGTCGGAATCGACTGGGATCGAACGCCCAAGGATGCACAATAGCACCGTGTTGACGTCGTGGCGCATCAGGTCATCTGAACATCGGAATCGACCGGGATCGGGCCAGCCGACATCGATACCGAATCGAATCAAATGAATGGATGAATCTGGCGCTACCCATATTAGTGGAACGCATCCTGAGAGGCATTGCTTGGAATTGGTTGGCATTGAATTGCCTTGCTTGACATGGCATTGCGTTACGTTGCTTGGCGTTGCTGGGCATTGTTTTGCATTGCGAAACAGTGCTTGGCAGTGCTTTGCATTGCTTGGCATTGCTTGTCATGTGATTGTATTGCGTTGCATGGTTTTGATTTGCTCTGGATTGCAGGGTTGCAGGGCATTGTTTTGAATTGCTTGGCTGTGTATGTATTGGCATTGCCTGGCATTACTTGGCGCTGCTTGGCATCGCCTCACGTGGCATGGCATCGCTTGGCATTGGTTTGCAATACGTTGCATTCCGTTGCATGGCGTGGAATCGCGTGGCATTGCTTGTCATTGCTTGGCATCTGCCCATGAGCTCGGTATTTGTAAAGATCAGCTGGCTAGAGTTATTACGCCATCACGATTGTCCAGTCCTGTATGTGTTGCTTCGGCTGGAGCTTTGAGCGAGCTGCAGCAACACATCCGTGATCGTCGCGCGCCTCCGCTCGGGGGCCGTGGAGATAGAGCAAACAACGTGGGCGCTCAAGAGGCAGCCATCCACCGCCGGCGTTGCCGACACTCGCCGAAAGATTGCCAAGATTCGAAATCTGGGCGAGGGCTGCTAAAACCGTGGCTGCTGAAAAGGCCCTCCTGGAGGGAAAAAACAACTTCCCGGAATGAGGCGCGGCACGCGAAACAGTCAACGGGCTTCTTCTCGGAAGGACGAAGACAACTTCCCGGAGGTCGATTTTAGCAGCCACGGATTTAGCAGCCCTTGCCCAGCTTCCGAAAGATCGCCGTGGGCGAGGGTGAGGAGAAGGACAAGCTCATGCAGCTGGTGCTCTCTCTGACCGAGCTCGGCGTCGCCGACGCTCTAAGGTCTTCGCGAGCTGAGCTCGGTCGTTTCTCCCAGTTTCGTCCTCCATCGGAACAGTCTGATCTTCGCCGAGCTGAAGTGCACCCGTCGCACCTACCATGAGATGATCATACCCTCCTGCAGGCGGATTGTTTGAAGGAAACTCTGCTAACAACAGATCCAAGAAAATGTTCAAAAAGTCAAGAGAGCACGAAACATCGTCACCCGAATATCTTGTGACTGTTCTTGAAGATTCCTCCTGTAGAGGGACATGCCCGACTTCAGCCTACCACAACTCGAACTGTAGATAAGCTACGGAGCTGAAGGCACACTCATCGACAGGAAATGATCAGAAGCGCTAGTCTAAAGTATCTAGACGCCTCAGATCGGTCTGCTGGTGGAGCTGCAACCAAGCAACTATTTGCACTCTTCAAATGTTTGGAGAGATGATCTTGGTTTTTTCTACTTAATGCCAGCTGGAGGCAAGCTACGGAGCTGACAGAGCGCAGAAGACCGCGCAGACCGAGGCTCAGATGGACGACCTCGGGCCCAAAACCTGGCGGGCGCAAGCCTGGAAAACGACGGCCGCGGCGCCCTCTCGAGAACCGAAAACAGACAATTCACTAATCGACGTGTCAGGGTGGGGGCTCTGTCCACCCCCGACTTATACCACAACAGAGCGCAGAAGACCGCGCAGAGCGAGGCTCCGAGGGACAGCGGGGGGCGGCAGAGCAGCAGGGGGCCGCCGCGTCTGCACGGGGTGCTGCGCGCCACCTCTGCTGAGGATCGCCAGGGTCGCGGCGGGCGCAGACGCTCCGGCAGGAGGAGCGATGACGATGACGATGACGATGACAATGATGATGATGATGACGACGACGACGATGATGGTGATGATGGTGATGATGGTGATGATGATGGTGATGATGGTGATGGAGATGGTGGTGATGGTGATGGTGATGATGATGATGACGATGACGACGACGACGACGATGAGGATGACGATGACGATGGTGGTGATGATGGTGATGATGGTGATGATGGTGATGATGGTGATGGTGATGATGGTGATGATGATGATGATGATGGTGGTGATGATGATGATGATGGTGATGATGGTGATGGTGATGATGGTGATGATGGTGATGATGGTGATGATGATGATGATGATGATGATGATGATGATGATGATGATGACGACGATGGTGGTGGTGGTGACGATGATGTTGATGATGACGACGATGACGATGATGACGATGGTGATGACGATGACGATGACGATCTCGTCATCGAGAAGCTGAGAGCGACTCTGGACACCACAGGTCCAGGGCGAGCCGCCGGAGGTCGGCGGCAGCGTGGCGCACCGCCGGACCACGGCGACGAGAGAGGGGGGAGAGCGGGCGGGAGGCCGCGCGCCCGACGGTGGCCTTCGATGCTAAAGGGAAATTAGGACACACAAATAAATACACACAAATAAA